CGCAGTCTGTTAAGTGACTTCCAGGTTGTCCAGCCAAGGTCGTGGCCACTAGCGAGGCTTTCTGTTGGTGTGATTCCTCTGTCCAGCCATTCAAGAGCTCCTGTGTCATTTCTTTGCCATTCATCTTCCCAGATGTTGGTCCTTGCTGCTTGTTTGGTTGTCTGGAGGGGCAGGACTGTCTGCACAAAACTGGCTCTGGATCGGAGCCTGCGTGGGGGTGCTACGTGGCCATGCAAGGGGTGTCTGATGTCTGTCTCCTGTGTTCTCCGTTCATCTTGAGCGATACCTAGTCATCTGATGTGCGGGGGAGAGATGCCGGCTAGCGCATAGAGGCACAGGACAGGTGTTGTCTTAACGCATCCCGTGATGATGCGGCAGGTGTCATTCAAGGCTGTGTCGACCAGTTTGGTGTGACGTGATCGGCTCCAGCTTGAGCAGTTGCACGGATTGTTGATGGACCTGCGCCCCACTTGGAGTTCACTAGTTTGCGCAGGGTGTTGTTGCGGGTGTTGACCTTGGCTTTGGTGTTCTCCAGGTGTTTCTTGAAGGAGAGTATCCTATCCAGTGTAACACCAAGATACATGGGATGCGTGTGGTTGGACAGTTTGTGGCCATCCCAGGTGACGCTCAGTTCTTTTTTAGCGTCTCGGTTCCTCAGGTGGTAGTTGGGTTTTTGATGGGTTGGGTTTCAGGTGGTTGTTTTTGTAGTAGCTTGACATTTCTGGTCAGGAGAGGTGCCAGTACGCTACCTTGTGGGAGGCTGTTCTTTTGGGCTTTCCACTTGCTCCTCTGGTCATTTAACTGGACGTAGAAGCGCCTGTTGTTGAGGAGGCTTTTGATGACTTGACACAGATTCAGGTCACCAGTCATGTCCAGTAGTTTCCTGACCATTGTACGGTGTTGGACAGTGTCATAGGCAGCAGAAGGATCTGTGAATGCTGCTCCAGTTATTTGTTTTCAATCAAACCCATCCTCAATGTGTTGGGTGAGGTTGAGTAGCTGTCCAGCACAGGAGCGGCCAGGACGGAAACCAGCTTGGTGTCTATGAGTGGCATGAGACGTTGGAGTAGCAGCCTCTCGTAGAGCTTGTAAGTGATGCAGAGGAGGGAAATGGGTCGGTAGCTCTTTGGGGATGATGGGTCTTTGCCGGGTTTGGGGATTGCAACCACTTTGGCCTTTCTCCAGACAGGAGGGATGGTTTTTTGTGCCATACATGTGCAGGGCTCGACAGTAACGATTAACAGGTTGCCATTGGCAACCATTCAGAAAAAATGTCAACCACTTCTTGGCCTTTGGTTTCCATCAGTGGCAACCACTTTTTAACATGAAGAAATAAGGACAGCAAACAGCAAAATGTGTTCCCCATATTTAGATAAATGTTCATTATTTGTTGTTTTAAGAGTGATATTTAATTGTTGTTGTGACCAGTCGGAACCTGATACTTAAGTTGCACGTGCATTGGTGTGATTACGGAGCCAGAAAGCGATGCACGTTTACGGAGCATCCACACAGCAGCGTGCGTTGATGCTTGGAGGTGGGCGTATCTGAAGCTTGGGGATTTTTTGCGAGCAACGCGACCAACAACCAATCACATGAATCTCCCGCCCCCGACATACAAAGCAATAGCAATGTTAAAACGAAGTAAACTGGATATAAAATCCCCAAACAGGCGAAAACCTACCAGTTTCACCCACTGTCTCTGCCTCCTCCCTCCATGCCTCGCTCCTCCGGTTTGTATCCCGGTAGATGAACAGAGACTGATCATACAGCACCGGGTGATTCACTACCGCTAGAATCAATTTTCCCTCCATTTTTTTGAATATGAGGAAATGACCTGCGTAGTCTCTCCCAGCATACACGCGGTTTGATTGGCTAGTGCTTGTACTGGCAGATTTGCATAAACGGGATTTCATTGGCTGACGCCTCCGTCGAGGCGTCAAAAGTTGAACATTGCTCAACTTTTGACGCCAGCTACGCCAGCAACGCTCCACGTCGCTTCCCAAAATGCAGTTCGGCTAAAAGTGACGTCACCCCATTCAAAGTGAATGGGCAGAAACGTTGGAAGCCGCCGCTGTGTGGACGGGCCGTTACTCGGGTGCGCCGTGTGTTTTTTTTACAAAAAATGGCGAAGCAAATAAAGTTGTTTGACTGTGGGGTAAAAAGTTCGGCCAACCCGTCGACATCTCAGACTACTGTTCAAAGTGATTCAACTGATAAAGCTCAAGATGAACCCGAACGAAAAGCAGAGAGGAAATGTGTAAAGTCTTGGGAGGCGAAATATATATGTACATTCTGCTCCATTGTGCATTCACTTCCGGTAAAAGTTCTTTCAAAATAAGAGTCCCGATCTTATTACTACCAAAATAAAAGTGCAAAACGAAACTTTACCATAGGAACATATTGGCATACAAATATAATCACTTCTATGAAAAGGTAAAACATTTTAAATATAGTTAGACATATTAAAGTTAATTTACAGCATTAATAATTAATATATAAATCTTACTGTGAATGGTTTTCATTTATTTAACATTAGAAATGTATTAGTCTGGCCGATCAAGACTTCAATGCTGAAGGGCCAGTGGGTCTGTGGTGGGGGTCAGCACAAAGGTCAGGAAAACCCACATTTGAAAGGGAGACAACGGATGACGAAACTAGTGACTTGCTCAATTCATATTTGAGGGATCTGTGAAGAACATATGGTACTTGCGTACCATGCTGCGAATGGATCTGGCCCTTCCTACATCCAGGACATGGTTAAACCGTACACCCCAGCACGTGCACTCCGCATCAGCCAAACGGCTTGCTGCACCCTCGCTGCGAGGGGGACCCAAGTTCCCATCAGCAGAAACACGTGGGTTTGCTGTCCTGGCTCCAAGATGGTGGAATGAGCTCCCCATTGACAGCAGGACAGCAGATAGCTTGCACACCTTCCAGACTGAAAACTCATCTCTTTCGACTCCACTTCGAGCGATATAACTATTATTCTATAACACATAGGTGTGAGCAAGCTCTCTGATTGGTCAATAGGCGTGTTTGATTCCACGATCAAAGAACGGTCAAATAGAACGTGCCTTTTCACAACAAGTCAGTATCCCTCCGCGTCTGAGAAAAACGGTATACCCTTGGCCTGGAACAAGAAAGCAGCGGAGAAGTAACGGGGCAGAAACCCTCCTTTTTACGTTACGAAACAAACTTCCAAACATAATATGGAAACATTTAAGATTAACTTCAACCTCCGGGGGGGGGGGGTCTTACTGTGGAGGACTGGATTGAGGAGTGCCTAGAAAAAAAAGCACCTAAACGACAACATGCAGAGCTACGTGAAGAGCAGGTAGACCAACTGGAAAAGTACCACAATTCAAAAGCTAACTGCAAACTGGAACAAGAAAGCAGCGGAGAAGTAGTGGTTTCCATAGCGACACACAGCCGTTACATTGTCTCTCGTTGGAACATCGTTAGCTACAAAATGTCAGATTTTATAGTTATCATCTGGACAACAGAAAAATGTGGAGCAACGCGCTTTTTGCCGGTCCGGGACACGCCAAACGGCCACTGGAGGAAAGCTCTTCCGTGAACACCACAGCACCAACTGCAAAAAAGTCTGGCATGGAGTTCATGAGTTGTTTCAAAAATTGCACGTTTAATGGCAGCATGAACATCCACCTTCATTCTGAAGACAAAATGTTAAATATGTAAATAAATAGCCTAATTCAAGAATTGTTGTCAATAAATTATTTTCAATAAATTGGTTAATAATATATTATTTACAATAATTATATCAATAACTGTAAGCGGGGAAGCAGGAGTGTTCGATTGATCGGCTCTCGTTACCAAGGGAACTACTTTATAGGAACTACTTTCTGACGGAGATTAACTCGAGCAGAAAGTGAAGGTTTGGGAGCAAATTAGCCCACATTATGAAATTATTTTACGATATTGTTGATTACAATGATAGTTTGTGTTACAGAATCGCAGGCCTCGGTCCTGCCGCAGTACTGTCGTACCAATAATGACGTTAAAGAACGGCCTCTCGTGTATGATTGCTTAAACAAAGCACTTATATACTAATGAAGGACTGGCTTACCTAAAGCCAGTTGAGCAGCACTTGAAATGTTTGGCTCTATGAAACCTGATATTTATTTTATGATTCTGTTTTCTTCAAGGTTGTATCTTCCTGGTCGAATAGAATGTAACACGACAACAGCTGCACTACTGGTATTTAGTATACCAGAAATTGAGGGTGGACAAGTTTCCTACCACTTTGGTTTCAAATAATTGTGTTAATTACTTATTCTTTTGTCACATTTTCATTATTAAGTTGATGTATAACTGTATAGTATCTTAATTATTTAAAATATAAGGTGACTAAAAATGGCAACCATATTTTCAGTTTTGGCAACCAAAAGCTGATACCTGGTTGCCAACCTGGCAACCACTTTTAAAAGTTAGCGTTGAGCCCTGATGTGTTCAGCATCTCCAGGAGCCAGGTCTTTGCGTTAGGTCCCAGGTGCTGTAGCATTTCTGCCAGTATGTCATCAACCCCTGCTGCTTTTCCGGGTTTCAGCTTACCCATTGCAGTTTCGAGTTCTTCCATGTCGAAGGGTTTGGTGAGAGGGCTGGCTGGTTGTGGTTGGTCTGTTGTTGGCGGCGGTGTTGGTTCGGGCCGTTGGCCACCAGCTGTGATGCAACCGAGTTTGCTGTGACCGTTGTGATTATGGGTGGTGTGGTGTGGTCTTCGCCAAGACGGCGGATTGTAGCTCATGCCTTCCTGCTGTTATTTGTCATATTGGTGTTCTCTATCATTTCCTTCGTTCTTCCCCAACTTCACTGATCAGGGTCTCTCCAAGTTCCATGGTGGATGAGCAGAAAGGGTCCTTATTATATTCCTCATAGTAGGCTTTCAGCAGGTCGCTGGATGTTTCTGATAGCCCAGGAATATCCTGTGTCTGGCATCTGGTATGTGACGTCTGGCTGTGGGTAATTAATGAAACTCAGGATTTTACAATATATATTTTTTTTAATTAACGGGGTTTTTGTAAGATTATAAAGTCATATATCAATGAGAAAACTACCCGAGAAATGCTGAGGGACTGGCGAGGTTAATACAATCCAGGGCTCCATGACAGAAATTGTAAATATTTAAGTAAAACATGTGAAATTTACGGGGAAAAAAACTTTGATATTTACCGAGATTATAACAAATCTGAACATCTACGAGAAAAACATCATTCATGAGAAAAGGACAATTGTTGTTAAAATAAGGGAAATCTCTCGTTAACGAAGAGCATGATTTTTTTTGCAAAAGGCCGCCGCACAGAAACGTCATTTAGAATAATGTATTATTTTCTGCTCTCAGTTGTTTTGTCGTTAATGAACTTCCGTACACCGTCTTTGAAATGAAATATGTTTCCACGGTTTAAACGTGACTCTCTTCCTGTGAAAATCCTCCTCTTTGGTTTCCATCTCAGACCTTAGTGATTGTTGATTCAGTCCAAACTGAACTTCATCGACAGAAG